TTGCGGAAGACTGTTATGGAATCACCGGTCAATTTTATATCGTGGAAATAAATTAAATGCGTCGGACATGCAAAGCACCGCGAGAGTGGGTATATTATGGGCGATCATAATAGAACCCAAAGCCAAATAAAACCAAATAAAAATGTTATAGAGAAGAGATAATAACCAAAAAGGTCCCCGCGATTAGGATGGTAAATTATAATATATCATATCGTCAACGGGGACCCAGCCCGATGACTGTAATGAGTGAAGGGTTTAAACGAAGAACCTAGAGACGCAATCAGTAAGGGACAGATGTACTTGTCAACCATATAGAACGACAACATACCAAGACGCAAGAGCAATAATCAGATACATCATCATCAACAAGACACCCTCAAGCCAGTGAGACTTGCCGTCACCGATGAGGTAGTTGACCTATGAGAGGACAGTCAGTACGATACCACTTTCTCGAGAATCAAATCCACTTACCAAAAGAACAGACATGAATAGTACAATAACCTGGAATCCATCGAAGTTGAGAGTCTGTCGAAGTTAGTGCCAGGCCCGATAAGATTAAAATTTTGGGCTCCATACCATATCCTCAACACCAATGATCCATCCGAGAACAACAATCAACGGCAACACAAGCAGCGCAATCTGCATGCTGGATCCGACGGCGACACCAATCGCAAGATCCATCTTATCCTTGCATGCGACTGTCACCGCAGTAACGTGCTCAGCCGCATTACCAACGATAGGCAGAAGGATTAATCCGACGAACGTCTCGCGAATGTTACCGGTAGCCGTCAAAGCATCGATGGATTCAACCTGCATAGGTTAATGAGCTTACTGCAATCACACATAAAAAAGATCGGAACAGATCTAGGGGAAAGGCATATGCATACCATGAACTCAGCACACGCAGCAACAAACGCAGTGGAGATAATCAGCGTGATGACGGCAGTCGTAATAGACAGCTGCGGCTCCTCGGGTTCGTCGTCGGGATCCTCCATCTGCATTTGTTCGGGATTGTGTGCGACTAACGGCGTGGCGGTCATTTTGCCGATCTGGGCAATGCCCCGGCTGGCATCGCCTTCGCCGACTTTCATGTGTCGCCGTTCGACCTTCAGGCTGGGTCGGTTGTAAATGTCGGCATGTGACTTAAGTTGGAAGAAGAGATAGCAGCCGTAGACGATTAGAAGGAGGACACTGGTGCCTGTGGTGCGGTGTGAGTAACAAAATCGGTAAAGCGATAGCAGGACTGGAAAGTCCCAGGAAGTAACGTACCTCTAGATAGGGAGGCGGTCCCATCTACTTTGTCAACTATAGTCAAAGTTCTTGTTAGCTCTCGTAACAATTTGCGAGTCCTGGATGCACTAACGATCAGACCACTTGTGGTAGGCAGTAGGGATGATCAAACTGCTAACAGCTAATGCGAGCATACTCGCGGCTGTCTGCGCAACTGTGACATTGAAATTTTGCTCGATGCGAGGGATACCACCGAAGAAAAAGCACATGCCCAGCACTAGGAGCAGGTTGGACAAAATGCTTCCGATGAGCGAGGTCTGCACGATGAGGGTTTTGCGTTGGACCAGTGCGATAATTGCAACGATCAACTCGACGGCATTACTAAGTTGGTTAGAAACAATGCTATCAAGAGGACAGCGGGTAATATAAAGCATACCCAAACGAGGCATTCAGCAGACCACCGATTGTTTCACCCGTGCTAGAAGAGATGAGCATAGACCAAACAGAATGGGGTAGATTGAAGCATACCGAAGGGCAATTTCTTCAGTTGCGAAACTGAGCATGGCAGCAAGAGGGCTAGTAAATGCCTGTTAGCAAAATATCCTCGTCCTAGCCAGCGGCATAACCACTCACATGATAGCGATGAAGTTAACCACGAAAACTGCAATCGAATTGGCTTTAACAGCATAGAGAATAACTATGCGCAAGAATATAATTAGCACGTGCACTTCCATACATCAGCGGCAGGAGCAAGACATACTTCCAACAGGTGCGGCAATCAAAAGAACATTGACCCACGAGTTCAAAAGAGTAGCCCTTATCTGTGACGCAAAAGTGTAGGTCTGATGCTCCGACTTCTTGTCCTCCCACTCATCGTCATCGTGGCGATGCTTGAACTTGCCCAAGATTCCACCTTTCCGCTGGCGCGCCTGCGCCGATCCAACGGTCTCGGTGTCAAGCCCGCGTGACGATGAGACATTGATTGGGTCCTGGCTGGCCATGGACGGTTCAGGCGGGGACTTGTGTGTTTCATGGTCGCTACCAGCGAACTCCGGCGGGAATGTGTTCGAGTACTCTGGGACGCTAATGCCGTCGTTGAGTTCCCGTCGGCGCTGCTGGTCTGCTGAGAGTTCGCCCAAGGTCTGGGAATGGGATAGTCCATCCTCGAGCTGCAAAGAGTTCGATCGGCTGGCTCTTTTCTGACCGTACCGTGCTGCGAAGTGGGCTTTACTGCGAATTTTGACTAGTGGCATGTTTAGTATGGCTGGCCAGTTGATAGATTGGGTATGCATAGCTGTTGGACTTACGCATGATGATGGTGGCTTAATATGGCTCTGTAGAGAAATGGATTCGTAAGTAAGAGTGGCCTTGCGAGAGATATATATAAGAGAACAGAGCAGAGGCTAATGATGAGCTTGATGAGCTTGATGAGCTTGAATTTGCCTCAAGGAGAATACACCCCACAACTGTGGCTTGGACCTGCGACCTGTGACGGATGCCTATGAAGGGCTGGCTGGGGGAACACGCACTGGCTAACGGTTTCGAGATATGGACAGCTCAACAAATCCACAAGCTGAAGCGATTACGGCAATCTAAGCGCGAAATGTGGACGAGTCTCAGGATACAGCCACAGCACGATGATGAATGGCGGATCCGGGATATTCACGCGCACAGGGGAACGGTGAGAGTCGCGCTCAGGCAAGGGGTAGGCGGGAAGTCAACAAAGATCAAACGAATGACAATTATGAAACGATTACAGCGAGAAGAAGAGTAAAAGGAGTGACTCAGAAATGAAGGGATAGAATTTGTCTGTAGCAATTTGCTGGGGTTTCTTTGGAGAACAGACTTCGAAAAGAGTTGAAAGGCACAGCCACAAGTGGTGCGTATAGTGTGTATAGTGGAGCAAATATTATGATCTTGGCGTCTAGAAAAAAACAAACTCGGATCGCGAGATTGGTTGGTATGGATAGTTGGTAGTTGGCAAGGGACCAGTCAGTGTTTCAATTCCAGTTTATAAATTCTTGTTGCGCACGACTGCGTCAGATATCGTTAAATCATGGATGTTGGTGCGCTGGCAGTCATAAACTACAGCGCCACTTGAAACCTTGGCCAGGTGGAACTGAAAGCTTTGTCGATGGAAGCTTTGTGCTTGGGTGACTTGGCAGAAACTTGGTTGATCGCCGGTATTCTGTAGTCAAATACCATGGTCGCACAGCATCTGATAAATTTTCTCGGGCATTCCTGCAGATGTTAGTAGACGATATACAAAGTAGCGGTACGATCGTGGCACAGAAAGCGGCAGATATGGGTCTCCTGTTTATTGGGGGAAATTCCCTCCAGCATAAATTGTGTAGGGGGTTTTGACCCGCTCTTGGCAGTGTTTGGTCAATCAGCTCGCGTGTTGATTCCACATCAGGCCTGAACGCCACAACCCCTTTTCCTATGTCATTGATTGCGTCCCGAGGTCAAGCCAGACGCATAATGGAACGATCACGTGTTGGTTGTCAAGGTTTGGTTTTCGGGGTTGTTGGTTGGTGCCCGTAGAAGCGCTCAGCAGCGCCACCTGGGCAGGCTCCCGTGCTCTCAGCCGGGAGCCTTGGAGATACTCTGAGAGGCACGCTCCCCCAAGAATAGATTGTAGTACTATCATTAGGCAGTGTCTATATTGGCATTTGTTATAGGCAGCCTCTTCGTGATGAGGCCGTGATCAATGATCAACAAGGCCCTGCTCGGGCAGGTACTGCGGATGTTGGCGGCTTGGGCTCGTCCAAAAGTAATGGCTGTCGTCATCCCGAGGAAATATCCATGACCACTCAGCTCAATCAGCTGCGTTGCGACGTAGTTGGCTGTCACTTTTTCGGTTTGTTGGTTGGTGTCTGTGCTGTAGCTCTGCGGTCGGGCGGTTGCTGAAGTGAAGCGAGGGGGAGTGAGAAGCAAAGTCAGACAGAGTAAAAGGGAAGTCAATGAAGTTAATGAAGTCAATGAAGTCAACCTCAAATCAAATGGTAAACATCGCCGTACAAATTCACAGAAAAGAAAAAAGTTCAGCCCTATGGGTTCTCGGCATCTTAAGGGCCCTTAAAATAGTTGCTGCCTACCTCGCGCTAGCCATTTTGGGCCGTGCTGACTCTCAGTTTCTCTTGGTTTTACGTCTCAGTGACTTTGACATTGTTTAACCAAATGAATCAAAGTTGCTCCCTGGATTAGTCTAAACTTGCACGAACGGGTATCATTTAGAAGGCGCTTATAAAATGTCGTTGATGCATTTGGACGGGTTCACTGTTAGATGCTTCTTCTGATCTGGTAGCTTTATAGCATGGAGCTATATAAAGAGCTTCATGGAATAGCTAGATCATCATCTTCCATCCACTTCATATCATCATCTTTGGTTGATCACACTTCTTCTCTTGGTCAGATACCTTCACCGTTAGAGATTGTGGGGATGTGAGCTTTGCCACAGTACTGCCCGAGCATACCGACCTGCAAAGAAAAGTATTCTGGACTTGAGGAATGACGTCTATTTCTCAGCGCCTTTGAGTGCGTTATCGGTGTCTGGTACATATTGAACTGGTATGCTCAACAAAGTTGTGTCCTATTTGAGCTGTCGGCCAACACTAATAGTGATGAAAGTCAAAAGTTCGGGATTTTCACCTTCTACTTGAACCAACAGTCTTTTTTCCCGCATTGCGAACACTCATCGACTGCTTTATGGAGGACTGCGAGCCCAAATAACATAGCGTGGGCGAAAACAAAGAACCAACTATAACAATATGCTCAGATGGGGTGGTCGCCGGCCCAACAGCCCTGTTTATGGCGTGACGGTAGTTGGCCTTGAAGCCCGTTTCTTCATAATGCGTGGAGGATCGACAGTGTTGAATGACTATGGAGCCACGGTTGAGGCTGTATCGGTGAAGGAAAATGCTGCCAGAGTTCAGGAGATCTTGTCGGATATGAAAATTCGTATTAAACAAGATGTGTAGTGCACATGGAGGACCTTTCTGTGCCCTGCAATCAGAAACCAGCCCTTTCCCCTCTTTTTTCATAAAGACTCAAAATGCAACCGTTGGCGAATATCCGAAGGCTTGGAAAAGCTGGTTGGGCCGACTTCATAAACTCTCAAATTCTCCCGATATCGACACGATCCGACTACAAGAACTCATCAAGAAGCCTACCCTTGGGACTGAAGAGGTTTTTGGGTCCACTGGATTTTCGTCAGAAGGTCAGCCAGCTGCCATGGACCAACATTTATATACATATACGTATGTAATCTCTTGGAGGTCGAGGAATAACGTACCAAACGTTCCCTACTAACAATATTTGAGGGTAGTTATCGTGTGGGGTGTCCTAACAGATAGGCACTGGTTCGGCTAAGCAATGCTGGCAAATGGTCTGTTGCCGCATATACAGTTAGCCGGGATGGCTGGGCAACCATTGCCAATAATATAGCATATGGTGCTGCAAGGGCATCGCCGTTACGATCAAGTGGTTCAAGTAATCCCTCTGCGAGACAATCGGTCCTATCATCTAAAACGCCACGAATCCCTCCATCAACATTCAGGATGCCATTGACGAGAACCCTGCTTTTCTGCTGCTAGTTGAGCTTTTTTTTTTCTGTCTGCCTAGAGAAGGGATGAGGAAATGATTATTTGAGTTGGCTTTTCAATATTAGAATGAGAGAATTTTGCCTGACGGCACAGCAGGCAGTAATATTTCCTCCCGTTAGGTTAGCACAGCCCTCTCCTACATGGGGATGATTATCAACTAGGATCTTTTTGAAATGGCTCAACATACAGCGCAACGCAAACCATGCGGTTCGAGACAGAACCAGGCAGTGCAGTTCAGGGGTATATGCACCCCTGAATATCATAGATCACGCCAAAAGCGGGTCCAAGCATATTACTCCGTAGGTACGGGATACTAGAAAGTCAATCATCTCCCTTTCGGGGCATTTATGGAGTACAGAGTGCATATTTTACTTTACCAAGCTTTGTGGCGGCCTAATATCCCGCTTGGTATGGAGTCTCGGTGGGCTCTTTGCTTCATTATCAGTCCGAGACATTTTCTGGACGTTGGGGCTGAGACAAATTTCCCGAGCATTGGCTTGTTAGGTATAAGTATGAGGATACATGGTATTTTTTATACAAGCATCTCTGTCCTTATTATTATATAGTAAAAGTATGGAGAAATAGAAGAAGAGAATATCAAATTTGCAAATGTTATGATATCGATAGTTTGGCCCTAGTTAATATGAAACAATAGAATGTTACTCAATTGTATCATATACATAACATGAGATGTTTAGCTGCTGTACAACGGTAAATTATAGTATTGTCCGGTCCGAGAACATGTATCATAAATTAGAGACAGGTTTCAAGACAAATATTAGCCCGAAATGCCCCAGAAGTACAGTACTCCGTACCTTCAGAGACACATGTACTCTATCACTACCAAGGCTAGACCAATTTAAGACGGGATTGCAGTTTATTAATCCTGATATTTCCGATTTCAAGTGCTACGTATTACAATGCTCAAGCCTTAGCCAAGGATGCTTAGATTCATTCCAATCGACGTCATTGCATTGATCGCCCTTGGCAATGAACAAGCTTTCTTCTTTGAATCTCTCTTCTATACAATATTGTCTGTGTATTCCGTAGATGTTCAACGATGGAGTATTTTGTAAACATTTGACTTTCCAATAGATTACTAGAAAATGAAGTCCCACACCATCCTCCAGTCAGGGTCTTCCCAGGGTCTTTAGCGCATCATCAGCCCGTCCACGGGCTCACTAGCGCCTCCACATGTCTCAGGGGAAGTGGCAAATAAGCAAAAGGACTCAACGGGAAAGGCTTAGCCGAGGAAATAGTGGGGTGACAGTGGAGTCACAGTGGAGAAACAGTGCAGGGACAGCGGAGGCAGGGAGTAGAAGGGGCCAATGACGAAATATCAACATCTTCCACTTCCAAGGTTTGTTTGTCTCTGGCTTGCCAATCACGTCTGCCACTGGAGTTACCAAAAACCAAAAATCCGGTATAAATAGAAATCAATACAGCGTTGTACAAATGATATGCACTGGATATCTCCACATAAATTCGCGTCCCCCTTTAGACCCTCTTCCCCCTTCCAGGGTCTCTCTTTTCTTCTCCTCCCTTCCTACATATCTTGTAGATTTCTGATTCTTTCTTTCTTTCACTTATTTACATTCGCTATTTCGAAAGACGGTGTGTGTACCCGTCTGACATTCCTTAGGATTTCAATTTCCTTTGCGCAATGAAGGCCTCTATCATCGCTGGTCTCTCCCTTCTGGGAGCGGCCATGGCTGCCGACATTCCCTCGATTGAGATCAAGGGCAAGAAATTCTTCTACTCCAACAACGGCACCGAGTTCTTCATCCGTGGTGTCGCTTACCAGCCCAACTTCACGGGTCGCAACGGTGCTGACAGCACGGATACCTACACCGACCCGCTGGCCATCGACACCTGCAAGCGTGATATTCCCTACCTCGTCCAATTGCGCACCAACGTTGTCCGTACATACGCCGTCGACCCCAGCAAAGACCACGATGAGTGTATGACTGCCCTCGCCGATGCCGGTATCTATTTGATCACCGATCTGTCCTCGCCTAGCGAATCCATCCAATCCGACGACCCGACCTGGAACTCGGATCTCTTCACTCGCTACTCCCAGGTTGTTGATGCCTTCGCCAAGTACCCCAATGTCATCGGCTTCTTTGCCGGAAACGAAGTCTCCAACAAGGTCAACAACACCAACTCCATGGCCTACGTCAAGGCCGCCGTCCGTGACATGAAGTCCTACATCAAGCAAAAGAACTACCGTAGCTCCCTCGGCGTTGGCTACGCCACTGACGACGATGCCACCGTCCGTGAAGACATCACCAACTACCTCGTCTGTGACGAAGCTGCCGACTCCATCGACTTCTTCGGTTACAACATCTACGAGTGGTGCGGCGACTCCAGCTACCAGGAGTCCGGCTACGCCGATCGCACCAAGGAATTCGCCGACTACCCCGTCCCCGCCTTCTTCTCCGAGTACGGCTGCAACGAAATCCGCCCTCGCAAGTTCACCGACGTCCCCGTCCTGTTCGGCGACCAGATGACCCCCGTTTGGTCCGGTGGCATCGTCTACATGTACTACGAAGAAGCCAACGATTATGGCCTCGTCACCGTCTCCGGCAACGACGTATCGACCCTCTCAGACTTCAGCTACCTCTCCAAGCAAATGGCCTCGGCCACCCCGACCGGCGTGAACTCCGACAAGTACTCCGTCTCCACCACCGTCGGTCGCAGCTGTCCCACCATCGGCTCGGACTGGAACGCCGCCAGCAAGCTGCCCCCCTCGCCCAACGCAGACCTCTGCGAGTGCATGTACAACTCCCTCGAGTGTGTCCCCAACTCCGATATCACCGACAAGCAGATCGGAACCACTTTCAGCTACCTCGGCGGCCAGAGTGGTGTCTTGGACGGAGTCCAGTCCAACGCCACTTCTGGCACTTACGGCGCTTACTCCATGTGCTCGCCTAAGCAGCAGCTGGCTTGGGCTATGAACGTTTACTACCAAAAGAACAAGGCCAAGGCTGGCAGCGATGCTTGTGGCTTCAATGGTGTCGCTAGCACCAAGAAGTCTACCTCTGCCTCTGGCTCCTGCGCTACTCAGATGAGCTCTGCTGGCTCGGCTGGTACTGGCGCTGTCAGTGCTGGTCTTGCTGCTAGCACTGCTGCTGGTGCTTCTGGCTCTGGCTCTTCTGGCTCTTCTACTAGTGGTGCTACCTCCTCTGGTATTGCTGCTGGCACCGTTCCCCACGCTGTGCACATTGGTGCCTGGCAGGCGGGTGCCTATGCGGTCGCTGCCGTTGCCTCTGGTATCTTCATGGTTATGCTGTAAACTTGTGTTTGCATATTCATGATTTGGATTTTTCTTTCGTTGTACTCGCTGCCTTGTATATTCACCTATGTGTTGGATTTATGAGGTATGCTTTTTTGTAACATTGTTCATACATACTCCTTTTTTAAACTGCTAGCGGGAGTTCTATTATCCCGGATACTTCAAAATCCCATTGTTGAATATTTGAACAAATCTTCCTGTCGGAGTAGATTGTATTTCCAAGTTTCATATACCAATATGTTTAGATCTTCCGAGGTATCCCAATATATATAGATCCTCCAGTCAGAATTAATCGCGATAACAATCGACTTCTTGATTGGCTACATGTATGTAATGATTTCATGTTCTCACTGAGTTCATTCTGATAGCTCATGGAATGAACCATCATTGGCCTGCGCATGATATGCTCCAGTTTTTACCACGTCGTCACTTTCCTTTTTTACAAGTGTCCACTTCTCTTTTCAATGTAAAATTGAGCACGCTCATCTGACCCACGGGACCACCGGTCTACTCCACCTACAAGGCTTGGAAAGTTGCTCCCGAGCTCTTTATATCGGATGTAATAACATTAAGATTCACATTGGTTAGATCTGGCTATATCCCCGGCAACGAAATTCGCACGTTTCTCTAAATAAATCCAGAAAACAACTCATCCTAATTAAAGAAATCCGTTCAATATACAAGTACATACGGAGTAGTAGGCAAGTCTTGTCTACCATCTATCTGTATGTGTATTTTTTCTTAGATAGCATGCTAGAAAATGTAAAAACAACGCTCGCAGACGCAATTGTAACTTTTTCGTCAAACCAACAGCGACTAGTTGGCGTCCTCAGGGAAGTAGACCTTGAGGGTTTCCAAGACACCCTTGTCGGCGATGTCTGTCATGGCCTTCTTCATCTCATCCGTGAACCTCTTGCATCCGCGCAAGTCGTCACCGAAGAGAATCTTGATGTTGAGCAGCTGGTCGGGGCCGCCATGGCCGGCCTCAGCAGCAGCCTGGAGCTCTTGGCGCATGGGGTCATCAACCTCGAACTTCTTGCCGTGGTCATCGACACCTTTGACATAAAGGAACCAAGAGGCC